CGCCCCGCCGCCGCCGCCGCCTCGCTGCGCTGCCCAGCGGAGCGGCCGGTGCCGGGACAAGCCCTCTGCCGAGCCCTTCGCAACCCCTCCGGGACCCGGTCCTTTCCCTCTCCCTGACTTGGCTTCTGAGTGTTGCTGTGCTTTCGTTATCCAGGCTGGCTTGGTGATTTCTTTCGGTTTTGGTTTTTTTTTTTCCAAAGAGACTTGAATAATCGTATCTAGTTTGGGCCGCCGTGTTGATAACACCCCAGTTTTTAGATTACCTGGTCAGAAACATAGAATCATTGAGGCTGGAAACGTTCTCCAAGATCATGAAGTCCAACCTTTGACTGAACAGCAGCATGCCCGCTAAACCATAGCACTAAGAGCCGTGTCTCCTTGTATTTAGGAATTCCACACTTCCCTGGGCAGCCTGTGCCAGGGCTTAACTACTCTTGCAGTGAAGGTATTTTTGTAATATTCAGCTTAAACCTCTCCTGGAGCAGCTTGAGGTCATTTCCCCTTGCCCTGTCGCTGGTTGCCTGGGAGAAGAGCCTGAACCCCACCCCATGGCAGGCTCCTTTGAGGCAGCTGTAGGGAGTGATAAAATATCCCCTGAGCCGCCTCCTCTCCAGGCTGAACATCCCCAACTTCCTGAGCCACTCCAGACCCTTCACCAGCTTCATTGCCCTTCTCTGGACTTGCTCCAGAACCTCAGTGTCCTTTATGTAACCTGAATGCAGGGTTGAATATATCAGAAGCAGTTTCTGAGGAACATGGATATTAAACAAACTTGCTTGGAAATTTTGGTGCTCTTTAGGTTCTTTGGAAGAAAGCTAGGGCTTATTGTGGAGTTTTGCTGGGGGTGTAGGTGCTGTAGATGTGTGAGCTCACAGGCAGGGCCTTTGCTGTTAGACTACATTCAGATTTTCCTCATTTCTCAAGAAATACCTTCTTTTGCCCTTCTTTATCCACCCATAAGTATTGGAAAACTTACAGCCTTGAGTCTCAGAGACCACCTGTGTGCTTTTTGTTACATTCATCAGTAAATAACCAGGCTAAGGGTAATAAAATTGCTTTCAGGAACTTCTGTGTAGATCCATGAAGTTATTTCTGTAATGGGTAAAATCCTATCCAATCAACGTGAGTGCAAGAGATCCAGGAGGCATCATGAGCAGTCAGGTTTTAGACAAGCGTGTCAGTAGATTTGACTCATTGTACAAAAAGTGCGAGGCCACGGAATGAAAAGCAACTGGTTTTAAATGATTTTGAGTGTAGAGCTACACTCATTTTGCCTTTTCAGATCAGCAAAACCTGCACTGTAGCAAGGATTTCATGAAGTGAGGAAGGAAGAAACGTGAAAGAGAATCTCTGTTTCAGATGAGCTGAAAGTTGTATTTCCAGTCTCCCCTGTTCACAGATAGCCTTAGGAGTGTAAACTGATGCAAACAGAATCACCAGGATTAGAAACTGTTCTCAGACTCCTTCTAAATCAGAGCTGCTATTCACAGTTCTCTTGCAAGCACTTAGAGGTGGCTTTGGGGTATCAGGAAATGTTGCCACGTGTCTCCTGTGCATTGGGGGAAGACCCCAGAGTGATCTCTAAGGAGTATGAGTGCTGAAATCAGACACACTTATGATTTTACTGGAAAATTGTACAGGAAACTTTCCTCCATCTCATTGCCTGGTGTGCCATTAATGTTTTATGGCAGGAGATTGACTGAGCAGAAACTGGCATTATTTAGCAAGGGGAGGGATGGTTATAGGGGAGTGTGAATAAAGGCACATGCAGGAAGACAGGAGGTGGAAACACCTAAGCTCTATCTGGGGAGGAGTGGAAGTGATGGTTTGAGAAATTGTGCTGGCATTCTGTCTGCTTTCAAAGGCACGACTGAACAGCAGTATTTCAGCCTGGCCTCACAGGAACAGAGTCCAGGGACAGCAGTGGAAAGAACACGCTTCAGGCATTAGTAAATTCTGGGATACAAACGGGTGGCTGTGTGTGCACTCATATACGTATGTACACACACACATACAAACAGCACTGTTAGGAGAGACTTCAGGCACAGATTGCTTGTTTGGCAGAACAGAGGTGGCTGCTTAAAATCTTAAGCCCTGTGCAGAGTTCTGGTTTTGCATTGGACATCATGTTCCTTTGCAGCTCAGCTGGATAAATAGATGAAGAAATGAGGGTCAGAGACATCACACTGGCCTATCCAGGTAAAGTCAGCCAGGTCGTGGCATGTATTCTTCAAGAAATACTGACTAAAAAGAAAAATAATCCTGATTTAGATCACTGGGGCTAGGGCAAAACAGTTTGGAAGTCTTTTGTCATGCTGCTTCAGAGCCTATCAGAAGATGTGACTTTTACTGCACAGAGTGAACCTGATGTATTCACTCACTGTTTCTGCACTTTCAATTTGCTTGACCAGCCTCATTAGCTTAATTTGTACTAATAAACCTTTGTCATAAATGAAAAAGAGTCCTATGGCCATGTATTGATAAGCTAAAACCAAGCAGATTAGTAGAAGAATAAGGAACAAACCTGTTTACTGCACAGGTGTGGTGACTGGTGGACAAAAATACCACAAGCAGCCCTGATCTTCCAGGTTTCTAAAGAGAGCGTGTGCCAAAGGAAACACTTTTGTGCCTAACATGAGGGACTATGCAATGATCTCATTACAAAACTTCAAGAGTTAATAGAGTTGCATAACCTTCTGTAATAAGAAAATTCAGAAAAGATGAATTGCAGGAGGAATCTGCAAGCACATCACCAAAAACTGAATGTCTTCTTTGTCTCTGTGAGCAAGATCCCGCATAGCTGGAAAACGCCTCCTCTTTTATCCAGCCATCATTGTGGCCCTTTGGTTATGCTGCCACAGTACTTAGCATACATCATTTGCAAAGCTCTGCACACTGGTTAAGGACTGTTCTGTAGAAGGTGAACGGTAAGACTGTAGCCGTCAGAAAAAGAGAAATGCAGACAGAGTGGTTCAACGATTTGTCCAAGGCCATGCAGGAAGCTGGGGAGAGAGGATGCAGCAGGAGGGACGAGGAGGGGAGGAACACATGATGACACCACACACACACACAACACAACACATCTCTGATTTCAAGTATCTTTGGCATTTATCCCAAACTTCAGGTCATTAAATGCTGCTGCTTCTCTCTTTAGCAGAGATATTATCTGGAAGGAAACAATGGCGCAGATAAGGAAAGCCTGAATTCTGTTAAAATTATTTTTGCCATAGATAATTTGTTGGTATTGTATTTTTTCAAAGTACTGATTATTTTCAGTCCATTCCAGAAAAAATAATAATGAATAATAATGGATTAATTATGTTCTTATGGAATAAAGTGCTTTCCTTATCCACTTAGCAAGGTGC